CCACCGCCGCCGCCGCCGCCGTCGACGACGACGACGACGACGTCAGGCGACGTCGACGACGTTCTCCGTCGCGTACCCCGCGCTACCGTTACCCACTCCGCTCGTAACTGTATCTGGACTTAATTATTGGTGAGTCCCGTGAATTTTCTTTATTGTTTCCGGTTCGCCATTTGATATTATTTTATTTAAGTATAAAAAATCGCGAATCATGGTTCCATTTTGCTCGCAAGTGAAATCGGAGACAATTCTTTCGTGCATCTGTGTCTTTGGGAATCAAATTTGGGATTCTTTACTAAATGGTGATGAGTTCGTTGATACTAAGTGGTAAAGGGAGATGATTGTGAGAAATTTTAGTATTAGTAAAGTTGTGTGATATAATATATTATTCGTTTAACTTCGAAACAAAGATTTACATCTTTTAACTTAGCTTTTATTAACAGATTTCTAATTTGGACAGGAATTGGAGAAAATAGATTCTATGGGATTTGAGATTAAATAGAATCAAAAAGAAGAAATCGTTCATTTTCTATCAATGAGATAATCAAGAAATTCCTTCAATACGTTTGTTTCTGTTGAAAATCTTTTATTTCAGAAATTCAGAATGAATGCAGATAAACAGAAAGCGATGATTTTTCGTTTGTAAAATTTTTTAAGTAATTCGAATATTAAAAAATTATCTAACTTTCTTTTGTGTTCTTTTTTGTGAATTATTAGCCTAGAGAAGCATTCCAATAATTGGTCGATTGCGATCTGTAAATATGCGAAATCTGCAACACGATGATTGGCCTAGGCATAGATATTAAAGCTTTTGATGCTTTCTGTACTATTATAATGAATTCATTTAGGCTTGATTTATACGAATGCCCCGGGCTGTGAGATGTTGTCGACTCTTGTTTGCCCCATTCTTACGTCGATTAGCTGCAAATTGAGTTTCTGTTTTAATTAAAATTCTCTTTGAATCGGTGGGTTTTCATCCTGTTCACGCCTCCTTTATTATTTATTCATGACAATGAATATATCTTTATTTGTTCTTTCTTTCTTAATTTCTAATATCATTTATGTTTTATTACTTTATTATATCTCCCATAGAAAAATTCTTCTTTAGAAAAAGAAACATAATATCATAGAGAATATTAATTGTAATGTTAATCGTGAATATATTTGGCTGTCATTTATACGTCTTTGGTCGTATCGTCATTAAAGTCTTGTCATTAAAGAAATTATATACTTATTAATACTTTTTCCTTTTATACAAACAATATGTTTGTTAAATTTTATAAGTTTTTAAAACATATCATTAGTATATATCAGAAAATATACATGGTACGAAGTCACGACGTAGAGACTACGAAAGTGCCGAATGTCGCTCAATGTCCATTAAGTTGAGTCAGCATGTCCCATATACTCATCATTCCACCCTAATTCGTTAACACGTATTGTACATTTTGGTGCCTTTTGTCTGTCACGTGCCATTTTAATATCCGAGAGCCATTGTCCTCTGATGTGCCTCTTTACGATCAGCGCAGCCCCCATAACGATTTTTGCAGGCTGCACACTCCATCATGCAATGACGACGATTACAATCTGTGACGAGACTATTACAATCGCACAGTAAATGTACAGAGCAACATGAGCTCCAAAAGAATATTTAACTTTTAATATAAAGCAATGAGAAGTTCTTTAGTATGAAGAAAATATATTAAAATGCTAACCACAAAAGTTAAAATAAAATATACGTGATATATGTGATCTAATTTGTAATATATTATTTATTTACACATTATGAAAGAGATACGATAATTGTCTTTAGTACTTATATAGGTATACATTTGAAATTTATACGTAAAAATTTCAAACATCATTTTGTACTATCTTATTTAATTTTACAGCTTAAAATTAAATCGCTAAAGTTTATTATACTTTCTTTCAATACACTGTGTCTTAATTAAGGGTAAATCTGTAAAGATTTTACGATTTTACGATGTGTCTTCGACAAACTTTAAGTGAAAAATATGATCTCAGTGTACGGTCCGTGAAACGTTTCTTCTCACAGTTTTCTACCCTCCGGAGATGCTCCCTCGAGAGTTCGGGGATTAGGGGTAGAGAGACTGCCACTCCAAATAAACACTCCTACTCGGATTCCCCCTGTACCGTTCTGTAGAAATACTCTATATAGGTATAGCAGGTCTTTCTGAAAGAAGCAGTAGGTAGCCGAAATATAGCAGCAACGCGATAGTTATCTTTAAGGATATTAAAAACGTTGAATTACTTATAAAATATTTAATATCAATTTTGGACAAATCTTCAAAAATTAATGTTTATTTTTATAGCATCTAAATTATTTTTACAATTGTAATTTTAACATCTTTTATTTATAAAGCTATATAAAGTATGAATATATTATATGTATATTATGTATTTTGGATTTTTTATAAAATAACTTACTTTATTTGTTACTATAGGGGCTGCGAAATAACATCGCGATCGTACAAAATTACGAAGCAACCCCAATAATTGGAAAATGTCCGGATTCGCAGCGGCGGGTCTCGTAGCTTTCGACTCCCTCAAGACGAAAGCGTCACTGAAATTATCCGGGTAATATACTGCACTATTTATAATATATTTAATTGATATATTTATAGAACATGTTACTATGTATATATATTTATATGTATACATATATATATAATTTCCTTTTTGTGTTTGTTTGTTTATATCATTATATATGTTATGATTTCAATTAAAGAGATTATTTTTTTAAAATGATACAAATAATTAAAAATTTACTATTTGAATGTGAAAAGATAATTTATTAAGAGAATACCAATTTTCTACAGATTCAGAAGAAGTGCCGGCGGTTATGAAGAGTTTGAAACTACACGCGAGAGTAGTAAAGACAACAAGGGATTCGAGGATGAAAGAGGATACAGCACGCAGCCTTCGTTCGAGTCACTTCCAGAGCCAGAGAGACCACCATTGCGGCATATCGATACTTATTGCATGCCAGAATGTCCATGTCTTTCAAAGAGGTATACCATCGCAACGCTAGCTTGTGTAGGTAAGAATGAATAATAAATTAGAAGGCTATTTTGTTTTCCCAACTTTATGTCACTTGCTATTCTCTGTT